GTAAAGATTTACAGCCTCGGAACCCCTATGCAGGGTCACTATGAGTCGGAACTGACTCCACGGCACATAACAACAACAATTACTACAGGAATTGTATGCAGCCATTTCTGATTTAAAGTCATGTTTAAACATTGGTAATAAACCCGTGAATGTTAGAAACTGAAATCTTAGAAGCAAATACTCTAATATATGGATGGATGTGTACATATAAAATGTGTATTGTGCATATATGTATGTATAGAAAATGTGTGTGTGTGTGTGTGTGTGTGTACACACACATGAATAGACATCAGAAAGTTAGTGGAAAGGTTCAGTTACCTTTGCATTCCCTTTTCCTGAACTTTCGAAGCCCCTGCGTATATATCTACACACAGGCGTACCTTTTTATTGTGCTTTGCTTTAATGCACATCGCAGATACTGCATTTTTTGTTTCTTTTACAAATTGAAGGTCTGTGGCAACCGTTCACCAAGCACATCTGATGGCGCCGTTTTTCCAATCGCATGCTGCTCATTTCATATTTCTATGTCACAGTTTGGTCATTTTCAACAATATTTCAAACTTTTTCATAATGCTCACTTAATAGGTTATACAGTGTAGTGCAAACATAATTTTTATAGACTCTGTGAAACCAAAAAATTGTGTGACTCATTTTATGGTGATATTCGCACTTTTTATGGCAATGGTCTAGACCCAAGCTCACAGTATTATGTCCTGTATATAATCTCAAGGAGCTCTAGTAGCATAGTGGTTACGAATCGAGCCGCTAACCTCAAGGTCAGCAGTTCGAAACTACCAGCTGTTCCATGGGAGAAAGATGAGGCTTTCTGTTCCCGTAAAGATTTACAGCCTCAGAAACCCTGTACAGGGTCGCTATGAGTTGGAACCGGCTCCACGCACATAACCACCACCACCACCATATAATCTCAAGCTCATGGTTGTTTCTATTTGTGATGGCCTTTTGCTGTGGAAAAGCAAAAGGTGTGATCTGAAGTCAATTCAACACCATCATGACTTTGTCCCTTCCTGTCCCCAACAAGGGTCTAATAAGGAGCCAGTACATAGTAGGCCCTCACGGGATCTTACTGAAATGACCATCAAGTATAAGCGCAGTGAAGCTGCCTCTCCTTCCACCCCAGTAAGTGTTCTTGGGCATGAGCAGCACTTGATGTGATGCAGGATGAAGACAGGGGGGATCGTGGTATCACCCCACCCCAGGCATGATAGGTACCTGCCTTTTTATTTGCCCAGTGGAAATCGTCAGCAGGCCACTCTGTTTTGTCACATTTAACTCTGGCTAACGGTGGCGCCTGCCGACTTTAGCCCTGACTCTGTGAGGTTTCAGTACCACAGCATCCCACTGCAAACTTCTCTACCTGTTCTGTTTATCCAGGTCTTACCTGGGCATTAAAAAAAAGAAAAAAAACAGGGTCACAAAGCTATCAACTTCATAATTAGTTCTGTGTCTTCAAAGAGAAGCGACTATAAGGAATCTTGGAAATAAGATATTACAGCGGCATATCTTTATCTGTCAGGATAATACCAAAGTGCCTCCCTCTTAAGGATATTGTAAAAATTCAAGGATATTTGGAATGAAAATTCTTTAGTCCAGGACTTGGCCTGTAGTAAATGTGTAAGAAGTGCTGGCTTTAAAAAAGAAAAAGGTCTTTTTCCATATCAACTAGACAGCAACTAATAACAATCATAGTAAGTGAATTTGTAAGAATTTATAGGTGCCCAATAGTGCCATGGAGTCCTGATGTGACACTGTAGGATAAACAGTGAGCCATAAGGCTAGTTTGAATCACAAGGGAAGTGGTTCAAACCCACCATCCACTCCTTGGAAACCCTATACTAGGTCGCTATGTATCGGAATTGACTTGACAGGACTTAAGAACAACAGACTCTGAAGTAGGGCAAGCCTGAAATTAGCATACCTCGTTTTTTAGTACTGACCTTATCATTTTAGGCATCAAGTATTAAGTTTGAAATTCAGGTCTACCTCCATCTAAGAGGGACATCTCTATGGGAAAAATACTGTTAAAAGGTAGCAATAGCATTCTCTGCCTAACAGACAAACTCGTAGGCTCACCCACCTCTTCTTCTCCCCCTCAGATGGCCTTTGTGATTTAACCTGCCTGATTCACCATCTGCCTTCTTACAGACCCCCCTCAAGTCCCCACACAGTTGGAAGACATCAGGGCCTTGCTTTCAGCCACTGGACCGAACCTTCCTTCAGTGCTGGCGTCTCCTCTGGGAACACAGCTGGTCCTGAATCCTGGGAATTCCGCTCTCATTGGTGAGTCCAACCCTCTGAAACATTAGGCAGAAATCCAGGGCTGGACAGGATTTATGGATGGGTGACTGCTTGCAGGTGGGAGGGAGGCAGTGGTGGGGGGTGGCCAACAGGAAATCACTAAATTGCCTACAGAATCCAGACTCACCAGTGGAAACTTGGCTGACTTTCCATCTGAGGTGAGTGCAGTTCACTGTCTGGCCTCTAGCTTGTCTTGATTCCAACATGGTTCCTTTCTGAGTCCTCTGGGGCTGATGCCACAGACCAGACTGCCTCACTAAGCGCTGAGAAAGATGCAGCAATAAAGAACAGCTCCTCTCTCTCCCCTTAACAACTGTCCCCTTTCGCTGCCCCATGGCCTCCTCCCATCTAGACTAGAGCTAGAGATGGTTCTCTGTCAGCCAGATCATTTTATTTCTGCCAATGTTTTGGTGGGGACAGCTAAAACCAACCTGGACATACTCTTCAAGGCAAATGATTTCACCAAGTACAATCTCCCTGGCATCTATCATTAGGAGCCTTCAAGTTATTGCCTAATATGTCTGGTGTCCTCTGGCAATAGGGTATCCAATTTCTGGGTCCTCTCACCAGAATCATGGTTCAAGATAAAGATGCTATGATCCCAGAGATAAACATATGCAGCATCTGTGTCAGGTAGATCTTTAGCATCAGCTGGAAAAGACGATGTTTGAAGATTGGTGAATGAATAGCTAAACTGGAAGAGAACCTAGTCCATCAGAAAAAGCAAACTTCTGCCACTGAGATTTGGCTCAAACTCTCACCCTCAAAATTTTAAAAGCTTCCTTTCATCTTGAGCCTTTGCAGCTGGTGACATCCTGACCTGTTAGTGACTAGCTGCTCCCATTCCTATCTCTCTAGATGTTCCTTTTAGATTATAGTGCACGCTCTGAGTACAAGACAGAAGCCAGGGACACTTTGTGTAGGGTTACTGAAATAGTAGAAGGGTAAGTGAAGTCAAGTTATGGAGGGTCTTGAATGCTAGACTGGTTGTTGTTAAGTGCCATCAAGTTAGTTCCAACTCATCGTGACCCTGTGTACAGCAGAATGAAATACAGCCATCCTCACAATCTGTCCTGGGTTTGAATCCATCATTTCAGCCACTGTGTCAATCTACCTCATTGAGAGTCTTCCTCTTTTATGCTGACCCTTTACCTTTCCAAGCACAATGTTCTTCTCCAGGGACTAATTCTTCCTGATAACATGTCCAGAGCATGTGAGACAAAGTCTTGCCATTCTTGCTTCTAAAGAGCATTTAACTGTACTTTTTTCAAGATAGATTTGTTCACTGTGTCTACCATAGGTGACCTTGCTGGTATTTGAAATACCTGTGGCATAACCTCAAACATCACAGCAACACACATGTCACTACTATATAACAAAGTGCAGACCAGTGCTGGGAATACAAAACTGTGGAGGTGGATTTACTAAATGGGGAATTGAGACATGTTTTTATAGGGTTTTAAGTAGGAGAATGATATAGTAATAAGCAATGTTTGGGAAAGATTAAGCTGACATTCTACTGAAGTAATCATTGGTAAGAGTATTTAATGAAAAAATCTTATTTTGAAAGTAGTATATGCTGTAGACCAGGACAGAAATACATACGTGGTGAAGGTAACTGCTAATCATGCCTCCTACAGTTAAGGCAGACATATCTAATCGATCAGGAGAATCTCTTTCACTCAGCCCAGATGCTGCATTGAAAGTCATTTTAATATTCCCTCCAAGCAACCATAACCAAATCACAGCAGTTTCTATCCAGAATGAAACCATTGACCAGCTTTGTGACAGCCAATTAATGGTCAGATTCCATCATACGTATTTATTCTTTGTACAGGATCTGGCTGTAACCGATCCAGAGAACTTTGTAGTCCTATGGTGCGGGGACAGTAACCCAACCTTGGTTCTCATGTTTCCATGGGAATAAAGAGAAAGAGGATGACATTAGGTTTTGAAAGCCATATATCAGAGCTAACTTTTCGGCATTAAGGCTTGATTTTGACATTCCTAGGGAACAAATCTACTTGAAAATTAATGACTTTGTTGGTTATCAGACACTCTGGTATTGATTCACTTGAAGCCATTGCTTCAGCTTTTAAAAAGGAAATAAAAGTTGATTGAGCAACCCATGCATGGATTCATCTGCACCTCACTTTTCATAATTGTGATGTGCAGGCTTGGGACTAATGAAGCCCTTGTTGGTCTCACACTCTGTTTAACTAAGACATGGAGAATGCCCAGCAGAGATTCAGCCATCCTAACTCGGGAAAGACAGTTGCTAATTTTTTGTTGTTGTTTATAGTTATCATTTCTGCAGGAAGGCCTGAGCTGTGCCAACAGCTCTCTAAGGCCAAGTCAAAGGTCAACTTGTCATTCTTTGTGGTCCAGGTCTGAGCAGTGTCCTGCATAGCTCCAGTTTTTAGCAGCAGCATCTCAAGCCTACCTGCAGCACCTAACCCTTTTTGCAGCCATCTGTTAAATATTAGTTCTGGCCACTAAGGCCCAAGACTAGTATTGTCCACACTATCATTTATAGGGTATTGGCACTGATACTTCTCAAAATACTTTAGGTGAAAGTTTGCATAGCAAATTGGTTCCCATTTAACAATTTTTATGCAATTATTCTATAACATTGATTACATTTTTCACCTGTGTGAGCATTCACATTATTTCTATTCTTTTTCTTTTCCCATTAATCTAATTTCCCTTCCCCTTCTTAGCATCTCATATTTGTTTTAGGGTAAATGTTGGTAATTTGATCACAGATGGTTGATAAATTTAAAGGAACATAGTATTCATGGGTGAGGAGTCCTATGTGGCCCCCTATACAGAGTTGCTATGAGTTTGAACCAACTCAATGGCACTTAACAAAAGTGGCATTTATTTTATAAAACAGTCTGTTATTTTGACGAAAGGAACCACTCAGGAGTAGCTTCATTTCCAAGTTTAAAGGGCATCTTAGAACTATAGTCTTGGGAGTTCCTGCAGTCTCTACTAGCCCTATAAGTCTGACCTTTTATAAGAATTTGTGTTTTGTTCCATAGTTTCTCCCATTCTAACTGTGACCTTCTGTTGTATCCCTGAGTCAGAAGGTTTGGTAGTGGTAGTCAGCCACCATCTACTTCTTCATGTCTGAGTCTAGAAGAAGCTGCAGTTCATGGGCCATCAGTTCTGTGGACTAATGTTCTGTGGTGTCCTTCCCTCTGTTTTGTTCCCGAATAAAAGAGAACCATAGTTGTATCTTAAATGGCCACTCACATGTTTTTAAGACCCCAAACTCTACTCACCAATCTAGGATGCAAAACAGTATCTTTTAAAACTATGCCATTCCAGCTGACCTAGGTGTCCCCCAGGACTATGGTCCTAAGCCTTCAAACCCAATTAATTAATCCCACAAGATGATTGGATATAGCTAGCAGGTTCCTTTAACTGTATCCCTATGTTTTATATTATACAAGAGGGCTTCAAAAAGTTCATGGAAAAATGGAATTAAAAGATGATGAAATTTTTCCAAAAAATTTTTGAAGCCCCCTTGTACGTATATACTGCTATACTTACATATGCTTTTCTATACCCATATATGCATACATGTACCCATGCATATATATTTTATTGGTGGTTATTGCAAGGCACTGATACTTTTTTTAAAAAGTGTTTGTTGGACTTTTTAAACAACACATTTTCATGTGAAACAATTAAAAATACAGAAGCAAAAAGAATTAAGTGAAAATGATCTGTAATAACCTAACCCAGAGGTTACTTATGACAAAGGCTACATATCGTTTGTCTAAAATGAAACTTTTTAAAAAGCATCTATGTATATATTTCTAAATACACACACATATATAGGCAAATAAATCAAATGAAATAATCTCTATATATTTCTTATAACTTTTTCCATATACAACAAACATCTTTCCATTATCTCTAAATATTATTTTAATTTTCATTTTTAATGAGTACATTGGGAAGGAGGTACCCTATCTTTTTTCAACTAGTTCTCTAATGTTGGACTTCAAGGTTCTTTGCAATCTTTTGCTACTATAGAAAATTACATAATGAATATTCTTATTTCTAAATCCTACGTACAGTCCCATTTACTTAGGAACCATTCCCAGAATCCTAATTATTGTGTCTAAAGCTTTTTATGTTTTCAGGTTTTGCTATCGAATTGATCTCCAAAAAGTTGTATCAAATAACATTGTATGAAGGTTCCCATTTTCCCAAAATCTTATCAACTCTAGATATGACCAATACTTTTAACGTCTGCCATCTTAATTACAGAATACACACTAGTATAAAATGCATTACAAAAAGTGATATCGATCTATTTTTATTTTTATTCATGTGATTATGTGATTTTCAACAATTTTCATTTTTAATAGCTCTTTCAGTAATGTCTGTTATACTAAGAATTCTCCATTAAGATCCTTTGTTCATTTTTTAATAGGTATTTGTCTTCTTATTGGTGAGATGATACAAACATCTATTTCTATGTATGCTTGACATATATTTCACATCACAACAGCTTTATTGAGCTATAACTGGTGTACAGTAAATTCTACATATTTAACATTTACAGTTTAGTTTTCACACCTGTGAAATCAGAACCACTATTATGAAATGGACAAACCCATCATCTCCAGAAGCAAACTTGTGTTCCAAGTCACAAAGATTTTCTCTCATGTTTTCTTCTTTGTGTTTAGGTTTTAAATTTAGTGCTCTGATCCAGTCTGAGTTAACATTTGTATTTGGTGTGAAAAATGAATTGAAATCACTTTTATACATATGGATACCCAGTTTTGGGATTATCCTTTCTCCACAGAATTTCCTGGTGGAAGATCAGTTGTCCTTGTATTATTTCTGAGCTCTCTGTTCTGTTCTATTGTCTGTCTTTACATCAGCACCACACCGTGCCCTAGGTATTTTGAGGGTTTCCCATCTAGTTGGTAGAAACAGGTAAAACTATCTCCTACCCCATG